TTGATTACTACGTCATAATTTTTTCCCTTTTTTAATAATAAAAAAAAATGATAGCTGACTTTAGATTATCGTGAGAATTGAATAATAATTATTTTAAATCTATAGAAAAAAATTGAAAGCAAAACAGATTTTGAAAAATAGGTTTTTACAATTTAATAAAACTATATATATACATATATAACAGAAGAAGATGAAGATGAAGATGAAGAAAGAAAAAGGGTTCAGAAAATAGCCTGTGTGATTATGAGAGGCACGTACTAGACGCTGTCCTAAAATCATTATGCGCTCCCTCCGTGCAGGTTTTAATGATCACAAAATACAACCCAAAACCTTTACAACATCTAACGCAATGCACAGTTGCACCAAAAGAATTTGCCAAGAATATATCGATTGCCTAGAAATATGAAATATAAAAATACAGGAAAGAGGAGAGAGAGAGAGAGAGACATCATATAAATGGTCAAACAACACACTAAGGATTCTGTTATAACAATGAAATTCGATTTATTCGGGTGACAACCAAGATCCAACAAAATCCCGATCTTCTATGGCAGACATAAGATCCAACACGGTCAACCAATATTTTGTTTGCTTTTGTCATCTTTCAAAATTGTTGCCATTAAATTTTTCAGGTTTCACACTAACAGTTTCTTCTAAATTAGCTATTTTAAATATTTAAAGAACAAGAGAGCAAAAGAGTATCTTAATCTGTGATAACAATAAAACAAATACTAATGTTATTGAAAGTGTAAATTTAATTACCAACTATTTAAGGATAGATATAAAAAAAAAGATGACAGATTTTGATATAGATCAATTTAAACAAAATAATACTAATCAAATATCATGAATTGTATAAAACGCTCTATAACTCAGAAAAACTACACAATAATAATGTCATACAGATCAAATTTAAACAAAATAATAATAATAATAAACACTCAAGCCAAACAAGTTTTGTAGCCCCCAAATAAACAAATAGAATTATAACAATAATAAAATACCACCCAAAAAAATCAACAAGTCAGTGATCTATTTGCCAAAAAAAAAAAATCCAAGTCAAATACACATTTTTCCTGTCGGCTATTTTACTCTTGCCAATTGGATTATGTAACTTTTCTATGGAGATTGATGTAAACAAGAGTGTTTTTCAATTATGAAAAATTACAAATGAGTGAAAGAGTGAAAAAATAGTTATATTTTTTTTCCTGAACGTAGTTTCTCAGAAATCAAACAAATAAACACCCAAGTCAAACAAAACAACGAAACAATGGAACGGCATTTGATTACTACGTCATAATTTTTTCCCTTTTTTAATAATAATAAAAAATGATAGCTGACTTTAGATTATTGTGAGAATTGAATAATAATTATTTTAAATCTATAAAAAAAAATTGAAAGCAAAACAGATTTTGAAAAATAAGTTTTTACAATTCAATAAAACTATATATATACATATATAACAGAAGAAGATGAAGATGACGATGAAGAAAAAGGGTTCAGAAAATAGCCTATGTGATTATGAGAGGCACGTACTAGACGCTGTCCTAAAATCATTATGCGCTCCCTCCGTGCAAGTTTTAATGATCACAAAATACAACCCAAAACCTTTACAACATCTAACACAATGCACAGTTGCACCAGAAGAATTTGCCAAGAATATATCGATTGCCTAGAAATATGAAATATAAAAATACAGTAAAGAGGAGAGAGAGAGAGAGAGAGAAAACAGAGAACGTTATATCTTTTTTTTGAGTAAGAGTCCTATTTAAATAGGCTATTTGCTATCTGTTTGGAACAAAAACACCCTTTGTTTTGAAACCAAATATTTATTTAAAAATCAAACAAAGAAGATGTTAAAAGAAACATATAAATAAATAAATAAATACAAATATAAATAATATAAAATAAAATATAAATAAATACAAAATAAAGTTTTGAAACTTTTAGAAAATTTTCAACATATATACTAGTAGTTATTTACTCTTCCAATGAGTTTGATTTTGATTTTGATTTTAATTTAAAAATATACCTATATTGTGTGCCGCTCAATTGGTAGATAGTTCTCAAATTAAAAGTATGAATTTGATTCCCATTTATTTTTGGAAATGAAAAAAACAAAAGAGGGAGGATCCTTTGTATTCAAAAATTTTTAATTTAAAACTATAATCAAATAATATTAATATTTTTTTAATAATAAATCAAATAAATATCAAATAGGTCAAGAATTTAAAATATGATACCAAGATTTATCAAAATACAAAAAGATAAATATGAGAAGCATCCTGAAGATATCATATCAAGCTTTGTATTATTTAAAGATGTCTTTCTTTTACCAACAGATGAATTTTTATGTGGACACTGGGTTTGATTGAGACATCAAAAACACTTCTCATGAATAGCCTTAAGAAAGACTCCTAATTAATTCATCCAAATCTTTGGTTGAATTTCCACCTTCTTTAATGGTATCCAATGCTGCATCACGCAAGTTCATGGCTCGAACCATTTCGTCCCGGTTTTTGCCCACGGCTTTCGCTAATGACCGAGCCAACTCATCCGAGTTTGGAACAGCTTGAGCACCCTCACAAGCCCTAGATGCCACTCTAAGTTGATCTACTAACAATGTAGCATTTGTAAACTGGTCAGCCCCCATGGGCCAAGCTAGCATTGGCACTCCCGCGAATATTGCCTCCAACACCGAGTTCCACCCGCAGTGAGTCAAGAATGCACCAACAGCTCGGTGACTCAATATCAATACTTGCGGAGCCCACCCTCTTATCAGAAGTCCTCTTTTAGCCACACGATCTTTGAACCCACATGGAATCACACCATACTGTCCCTCCACGTGTCCCTGTGTTGGCTCCTTGATGCACCATATAAACTTAACCCCACTTTTCTCCAACCCCAGTGCTAGCTCCTCCATTTGCTTGTTTGATAACACTGCCTGACTCCCAAAGCACACGTACACAACCGTGCGATCTTCACACGTGTCGAGCCAAGACAGCACATCGCTTGGCAATACAGAGCTGGACCCACCTCTCTCTATTGGGCTAGATTGATCATTAACAGGAGGAGGGACTAACGGCCCAACAGCCCATACCCGATCATGGCCCAATACCTCCATTAGATGGTCCAGACAAACCCGTTCCAACTCACTAAACGAGTTAAACACGAGTCCCCAACTCGCCATGTTAGACTCAAACCCATCTTTGATGAATTCCGAAACTGGGTCTCCTTCAACGTAGTAACGATACAGGGCAGAGAGCTGCCACCAAGGGTAAATCGGGGAATTCGGCACTTTTGCGAATGAAATCAGAGCGTTGTCATCGTTGGGATTATCTCTCTTTGGTAGGTCACACCACATGGAATAAGCAACAGACAAGGCCATAGCACCGGAAGGAAAGAACACGAGGCGGCGGATGCTGAGCTGGCAAGCGAGGTGGTGGGTCCACCCCAAGAACATGTCGGAGACGATGGCCACTGGCGGCGAAGGGTGGTTCTGAAACCAATTTAGGAGAGGATTGTAGAGCTCACCCATGGCGGGAATCATAGCACGAAAGCCGTTTGGGGGCATGTCTTTGACATTCTCTACGCCGGAGGGGATGGAAGGGTGCGCAGGGAAAGGCAAGATGAGAGTTTGGATTGTAGGATTTTTGGAGAGAAGTGGGTTTAGAAGAGAGAGGTTTTTGGAGGTGATGAGTATGGTGATTGTTAGGCCACGAGAGGCTAGTTGATGGGTTAGGTCAAGAAGTGGTATCATGTGCCCCTGCGCAGGAAAAGGAAATACCAGGACATGTGTGCCATCTCCGGCGGTTGTCATGGCGGTGTATTGAATAAAGAGAAGGGGATTTACTGAGAGAGAGAGAGTCTTGCAGGAGTTGAAGTGGGAACTTTGGGCATTTTATAGTACTTATCTTCTTTGTTTTTTTTTTTTTTAATTTTTTTTTTTTGACATTTATAATAAGTTAAATTATAAATACATTTTTACGTTTGATTAAAATATAAATTGTCTTTTTAATTTTAAAAATCACATTTCATCTTTGATGTTTTTAATTTTATAACCAATTACCTCTTTTATTAATTAATCATCAAGTCAATTAATATGTTTTTAATTATATTAAAAATATATTTTAATTAATAATTTAAATAATTTTATTATTATATAAGATAATAATTATAGATTTTATTTTTTATTTAATTCTGTTTCTAATACCTATTTGTAATTTACCTTTATAATATTTATATAAGAATTTTGAAAATAGTTTTGGGATGTTTTATATTATTATTTTTTTTTTTATTATTATTATTATTATTATTATTATTATTCTGGCATTTTATAATATGTAAGTAGAAGGTTCATAGGGCATTTTAAAGGTTATTTGAATGATCTAAATAAGTGTATTTTTTAATTTTTTATGAAATGACATAAAAAAAATAGAGAAATGATGTGACTAAAAAAAGATTAAAAAAAATAAAAAAAGTGTGCTTATATAGGGTCCATTTGGGAAGATCATTTGGATTAAAATAGTCATATAAGGCAAAATAGACTATTTTAGCCAAATAAGATAAAATATCACATGCAATTTATAATCATTTTATTTTTTTCTCTCACAAAAGTCAAAAATGCCAAAAACCTATCCCATACAAAACTTTTTAACCCCTAACTAAAATAGCCAAAAATCAATCCACATCCCAAACGAAGGCATACCCCAAACTAAGAGCATCTCCAATGGATGGCTAAATCAGCTGCTAAAGCCATAATATGGCAGCTTGGGCAAACTTGGCTTCTCCAATGGCATGCTATAACAGCTGCCAAATTTGGCAGCTACTTTGGTAGCTGTCAAGTCTGCCAAGTCACCCAAAATTAACTGTTTTCTCTCTTCCCTCCTTCCTTTCTTCCCTTTCGATTGGGATTTTCCAGATTCATCAATATTCATGAAGTTTTATTCATCAATATTCATCAAATTCATCAATATTCAAGAAGAATGAACAAGAATTCATCAATATTCATCAATATTCCAGAATTCATCAATATTCAGCAAATTCATCAAATTCATACTAAAAACAGATTTAAAAAGATTTCATCAAATTCATCAAATTCATACCAGAATTCATCAATATTCAATAACAGGTTTAAAAAATTTCAGGAAAACGAACATAAATAATCTCAAATTAATTTCTCAAATAATCCATTAATTTCTCAAATAATCCATTATAAAGGAAGTTGTTTGCCAACTAGTGTATTATTTAATTCTGTTTCCCAGACCCCCCCTCTCAGAGAAGAAAAAAGTTAGGGCATTTGTCGCCGGAGCTCCCATCGCCGGTCTCTCCCCTCCGACAACCACCAATCACCACCGTCGTCGTCGTCTCTCTCTTCATACAAGTTACCCTCTCTCTCTCTCTCTCTCTCTCTCTCTCTCTCTATGTATATATATAAATATATACGAATTTTTTTTGCTGCAAATTTGCAGGAGATCGGGGCTGAAGAATTGGAGCAGGTTGGAAATGGTGAGAAGTGTGAACAGTCATTTCAAATAATCCAAAGAAAAATACCTAGATTTGATGGGGGGGGCTACGGCTTCGATCTGAAGAGGGTTGAAGATGAAGGTTGAAAAGGGTTGGAAGTTCATCCGAAGTTGATCCGAAGTTCACTAATCTAAAGCTGATCTGAAGTTCATCTTCATCCGAAGCTCTCTCTCTCTCTGATCTTCACTCATCCGAAGCTCTGATCTTCCCTTTGACCTTCCCTCTTCCCTCTAATCTTCACTCATCCGAAGCTCTCTCTCTCTCTCTCAAGTTTCGAAGCTCTCAAATTGTTAAGAGTAGATCTCTCAAATTGTTAAGAGTAGATCTGGAAACTTTCCTAAAGTTTATCGAACTTCGAAGACTAGATTTTTCCACATGATTGATCTCAGTCGTTGATTAATAACAATCCAACGGCTGAGATCCAAGTGTGTTACTTTATTCATTAAAAAAAATAAAAATTACGTAAAAACATAATTGAAACATAAATAAAAAAAAATGACTCTTTTTTTTATGTTAAAACAGCTATAAAAAAAAAAAATGACTCCTTTTTTTCTATAAATACAAACCTTCTCTGCTCTCTTTTTACTCAATTTCATTTCACAAAAAACTTTCTAAATTACATTTTTATTTATATTTTCTTTACACAATCGATATGGAAGGTTCATCAAAAATAAAGAGAGGAAAATCATTCACCATTGCTGAAGATATGGCACATTGTAAAGCTTGGTGTCACATTTCTGAAGATCCAATTGTTGGCAATTCACAATCTTATACTCACTTTTGGGGAAGAATTTATGAAAATTATTGCTCCATTCAGAATGATCAGTCAAGAACACAAGTTTCTATCCAATCTCGATGGGGTACAATCATGAAATGTTCTAACAAATTTCGTGAATATTTAGCGCAAGTCGAAAATCTACACCCAAGTGGGATGTCTCAAGTTGATCTAGTAAGATTTCATCTTCATTTATTACGTTAGTTTTTTATTTTATTTTATTTCGTCTCATATAAAAATTAAATAATTACTTAATTCAATATTGATACATATTTTATTTTATCTAGTAAGATCTCATATTTTATTTTATTTTATTGATACTTACTTAATTCAATGTTGATACAGATGCTTCAAGCAAAACTTTTATACCATCAAGATGAAAAGAAACATTTTGCTTTTGAACATTGTTGGTCAATCTTGCAAAATAATATCAGGTGGCAAGATGTAACTCCTATGAATACGGTGAAGTCAAGGATACATACACCATTTTCCCCTGATTCAGCTCTGATTCCCGATGGATAATTGCATTTCTCTTGAAGATAACACCAATCCAAGTGTTGGTAACAATCCAACTGTTGGTGAGGGCAGTGTCTCTACGAGGGGTAAAAGGCCGATGGGTAGGAAATCTGCAAAAGAATTATTTCAGAGAAATCAAGTCATTGAAACTGAAGTCCAAAAAATGAGTACACAATTAGACACATTTAACCACCACCTTGCTGAGAAAGAAAAGAAAAAAGAGGAAAGAGAAGAAAAAAGGATTCAAGCACTACAGCAGATGAAAGAACTTGAGATGCAAAAACATGAGTTTGAGATGAGAAAGGAAGAACACCAAATAATGACTACGGCCTTTTCTCATTTGGACCCTCAAATGAAAGCGTATTACACAATGCGAAAAAATGAGATTTTCGCCAAGTGGTCCTCAAATGTGAGCAGCCCAAATTTTATTTCCCCCTATCTCCTGATGAATAATTACGAGACAATATATTTTTTAAATTTGCAATATCATTTATTTTTTGATGTAATTGTTAGTCTTTATTTGCAATGTAATTTTTATTTTGTAATGAAATTTCAAGTTTTGTTTTTATTTTTGAGTATTTTGTACTTCACAATGTAATATTATTTTTTCAATGTATAATGTTCACTAATTTGTATTATAATTTAATATTTTCAATAAAGTATAATGCAAAAAAATAAATATATTTTTTCAAATGAAGGCAATAAAAAGATAAAATATATTAGAATAAAAAGACATTGTAAAATAAAAAGACATTAAATGAAGAACATTTTATTAGAATAAAAAGACATTAACTGACATTAACTGTCATTAAAAAGATAAAATGCAAACTTAATCTAACTCTCCAGCTCGGGACCACAAGTGTTCAATTAGATCATTACGAATTACATTATGGGCTTCAATAGATCTAATCCTTTGCCGATTCAACATAAATTGAGCATACTCCTCATTCGGATCGCGTGACACTTGACAGCCCAAATTACTGGTATCAGTCTCAAGCTGTGCTGCACTGCGTTCATTTTCTGGAATATCACGCTCGTCTTCAATGATCACGTTGTGCAAAATAATGCACGTCTTCATGATATAGTACAGATCCTCATCACTCCAACCTTTAGCTGGCACGCTGACAATATTAAATCGTGCTTGGAGCATTCCAAATGCCCTTTCGACATCTTTCCGACATGCCTCCTGCATCCTCGCAAATAGTTGTCTCTTTGCGTCTTGAGGTTGAGATATTGTTTTCACAATCGTTGCCCAATGAAGATAGATACCATCCGCAAGATAATACCCCATGGTGTATGCGTGATTATTAATGGTGTAGTTGGCAGCAAGGACACGTCCTCTAGTTAATTCAGCAAATAAAGGCGACCTGTCAAGAACAGTAATATCATTTAGAGAGCCAGGCATGCCAAAGAAAGCATACCAAATCCACAAGTCATAGGAGGCAACTGCGTCGAGTACAATTGTTGGTTTGTGATAGTGTCTAGTGTAAGCACCGGCTTGGGCACTTGGACATTTATCCCAACTCCAGTGCATACAATCCAAACTCCCTAACATTTCAAAAAACCCGCGTTGCTCTCCCTCTTGCAATAATCTGGCGACATCTGCTTCATTTGGAGATCTTAAGTAAACGGCTTCATAGGTAGCAACAATTGATCTGGTAAAAAAAAATTTAAGGCGGCAATTGCAGTACTTTCGCCGATTCTAATGTACTTGTCTACAACATCAGCAGGCACGCCGTATTGGAGGATCCGAAGTGCTACAGTCATCTTCTGTATACCGGATAATCCAGGAGCACCAGTGGCATCACGGGTTTAGATGAAGTACTCATTCACTTGTTGAATATCGTGTAAGATACTAACAAACAATGACCGCCTCATTCGAAAACGTCTTCGGAAGTATTCTTTTGGATAGACAGGATTATCTGCAAAATAATCTCTATAAATTTGTTCGTCACCTTTGACCCTCTCACGATTAATGTATCGACGACCACTTGTGGAACCAACACATCTGGTTTGTTGGTTTAGACTTAAGATCTGTAATCTTTGTTGTTGCGCTGTGAATAGTTGCATCATGATGATATCATCATCAGATGATGAAGATTCATCAAAATCTCCATTTAATATGGCTTTACTCAAATTGCTCATTGTAGGTGGATGTGTGAGTAAGTGAATATGAAAATTGTAGAAAATCTTCTTGGTAGGTACAGAGAGTTTTGAAGATATGAAAATAATAAGTAGGTGAATATGAAAATTGTAGAATACCTTATGTTATATTTATAGAGAAAATTGTGGGTGGGTGAATGATGGATGGTTATTGGGTGGGTGAATGAATAATGGATGGTTGTTGGGTGGGTGGATGAATGATGGGTGGTTGTTGGGTGGGTGGTTGAATAATGGATGGTTGTTGGGTGGGTGAATGTGAGTGAATGAATGCTGGGTTAATAATGGATGGTTGTTGGTGGTTGATTGTTGGTGGGTAATTAGTTTTAAAATTATTTATTATGTGTAGTTAAAAAAATTTATTAAATATGTAGTGATATGTTTTTTGGTTGGGTGAATTAATCAAACAAATTTTTTTTTTCCAATTTTACATTTTTTTTAATTTTTTATATTTGTCTAGTTGGAAATAATATAAATATATAATTTTTTTAACAAACAGGTAAAAAAATGTCACAAAAGACAAAAAAATAAACAAAAATAAAATCACAAAAAACCTATATCCAAACAACACCTACAAAGTTGGAGGGAAAGTTGGTTGAGATTTGTCAAAATAGCAAATGACCATTGGAGCACCATTGCTAGTGTAGTTATCTAGATTTTCTTAATTATATTCTATAATTATTACCTATTTACCTTTATTTAATATTATATATTGGATTTTGTTGATAATTTCTAATTGATTATATTTAAAATTTTCATTAAGTTCCCCTAATAACCTGATTAAAGTTTTATTTTGTTTGATTATTATTTGTAACACATTACTATTATTTAAATTATATAATTTTATTTCTTCAGCCTATCTAATACTCATGTAATTGTATTGGCAATGTTGAGAAATTAGACTCTGATATTAATTAAAACATAACAAAACATTTTTAAAGACAATAGAAATTTAAAATTTTTCTATAATAAAATATTAACTAGCTAAGGTCTTTTACTAATTTATAACAATTATGTGTCTATATTTGAATATGTTTAAATTATATATTTAGAGATTTAATAGATTCAATTGATAGTTCAGAAATTAAATAGATTTTGATTTATATAGTTTAAGGACTTGATGGACTCAATCGATAGTTTACAGAATACATAAATAATTTGGCAATAATTGAGGGGTAGAAAATGAAATTAATCATTATTTACAATAAAAATTGGCAAGTCCAAGTTAATTTTTTAGTTTTTTTTTTTGACTTTTTTTAAAAATATATATAAAAAAATAAAAATAATAACAATATAATCTAAAATAAGTCAAAAACTTACTTTAAGCCTTTTTTTATTTTTTTATTTTTTTAACTCTTCTCAAGAGAGTCTAAACAATCAAAGAAAGACCCTTGGAGTGAGCGTAAGCAATTATTGACTCTTTGACCTTTCAGTTGAGAGTGTGTAGGGTGAGTGAGAGTTCGTTGGGGGAGTGAGTTAGGCTGGTTTGGGGTGTCTTAAAAAAATGTATTTTTTGTTTTTTTGGATTAAAAAAGTTGAGAAAAAAATATGGAGGTTTGGGTTAACTTTTTAGATTTTTATGAAAAAATGTGTATTAAAAAATTGTATAAAAAGAGTGTGTAAGAGATGAATAGTGACAGGTGGGCCCCAGCCGTACAAATCGGAAGGTGTGAATGGGAGTTGGAAATTATTGGCTATTTTTTGTACAAAGCACTGCACGGTTTTGTTTGGTCTGTGGGGGTTATCACGGGTTCCATTTTAATAATCTGAACCGTTCAATGTGTATAACTCGTCGAACACTATGTACCTATAAAAAATTACGTTAATCGGATATCGATAGCTATCTGATCAGATATATTTATTTTTCAATCATTAATTATAATACCATCCATTTGTCGTACATAACTGATCTGATCATATAGTTATCGATATCCGATCAATGTGATTTTTTTGCAGACATATAGTACTCGACGAGTTCTACACATTTAACGGTTCAGATTATCAAAACTGGACCCGTGATAGCCCCCGCAGGCCAAACAGCGATGTGTGTGCAAATCACACCCAATCATTTCATATATGTGCACTGCCGCTGCACAGCAGCCGGCTTTTGGTCAATTCGGTGTGTACTTTGGGCAGAAAATAATTATTATTATTATTATTTTTTTTGGTGAATAGTGATATCTTTTTGAATTTTGGAGTAACTTTTTGACTTTTTGGCTTATTTAGGATAAGCCAAACCAGCCCTTAATTTAGGGTTGAAAAGTCTGATTTAGGAAGGATTTTTAGTTTTAATGATTATGAATTGGATGTAATATTTTGTTTTATTGAACTAAAAAATTTATTTATTTTTTGTAACTAAAATAGTCAAAAAAAGCCTGGCTTTTGGCTTCTCAAATGAAGCCTGAGTTACTCTAGTTAATTTAGGATTCGTTTGGCAATGACTTTTTTAGTTAGTTTTTTAATTTTTTTGATTTTTTTAACCTGAGACTTTTTTATTTATTTGGTTTTTTTAACTTTTTGGCTTTGAAATGGAAATTTTTTTTTTATCCTTTTGTGATTTTTAACTTTTTGACTTTTTTTAATCATTTTGTGATTTTTTAGCTTAAAAGAAAAATCAAACCGGGGTTTAGTTATTGAATTATCTTGGAATATGAAATTATTTGGGAATGAAATGTTTTGGTTTTTTTTTTACCAAAAGACAAATTGGTTACAAAATAAAAAAAAATTAAAAAAATCCAAACAAAATATCACATCAAACCCCATAATTAATTCATTTTTTCTCTCACAAATATCACATCCAACCACAAAAAAATCCAACTATCTTCCCAAACACAAAAAAAAAAAATTTCTCCAATAATATCCTACAACTAAAAAAACTTACAAAAAAAACTCACTTCTCAAACACCCACTATATTTGAGTAGTGAGATTTATTATTTCACATGTAGTATTATTATTAAGGGGGTTGCACACCATAACATTACCCTAGGTAATAATATCACGTCTCGGCAATTGCATAGGTCTCATTTGAGAAGTTGTCTATTTTAGTAGGTTAAAATTTTTATATTTAAAAAGATAGTTGATTTTTTTTTTGTAGTTGGATGTAATATTTGTGAGAGAAAAAATGAAATGATTATGGATTTGTTATGAAATTCTATCTTATTGACTATTTTAGTCTATTTTATCTTTTTGTAAATTTAGGCAAAAAAAATCAAAAACTCACTTGCCAAACTGGGTCATAATACTATTTATTACAATAACAAAAGTTATGATTAGTGAAAGTTATTAATGGTGAAATTGTGATATACCCTCCTAAAATTATAAAACAGAAATTATATTTTTATAAAAAGTGCATAACATATAAATCTAGTAAAGTTGTATTAAGTGTATCTTTACTTCTATTTATATCACGTGTCATTTTTTTTCTTTATTTAAAACAAAAGATTATATAGAAAAATGGATGAGACTTGAACCCGAACACAAGGTCCGGTAAAAATTACTCTTATTATTTAAGTAATATATATATTATAATATTAATTTTTTTCTTTTTTATTTTTACTTAAAATATTCATATTTGGCTCGAATCAACCTCCAATATTTTTTTTAAGTGCGTGTAAAGTAGCCTTTTGATGTAAAGATCATCTACTTAAACTTTTCATTAAATTTGAATTTTATTTTTACTTAAAATATACATATTTGGCTCGAATCAACCTCCAATATTTTTTTTAAGCGCATGTAAAGTAGCCTTTTGATGTAAAGATCATCTACTTAAACTTTTCATTAAGGGCTGGTTTGGATTGTCCTAAAAAAGTGTACTTTTTGTTTTTTTGGACTAAAAAAGACAAAAAAAAAAATATGGAAATTTGGGTTAACTTTTTGACTTTTTATGAAAAAATGTGTATTAAAAAATTGTATAAAAAAAGTGTGTAAGAGATGATAAGAGAGGAGTGGGCCCCAGCCGTACAACCGGCTGTACAACCGGCTGTGTAATTTGAATTGGAAATTATTGGCTAATTTTTGTACAAAGCACTGGACGGTTTTGTTTGACCCGTGGGGGTCATCACGGGTCCCATTTTAATAATCTGAACCGTTCAATGTGTGTAACTCGTCGAACACTAAGTACCTATAAAAAATCACGTTAATTGGATATCGATAGCTATCTGATCAGATTTATTTATTTTTCAATCATAAATTATAACACCATCAATTTGTTGTATATAACTGATTTGATCATATAATTATCGATATTCGATCAATGTGATTTTTTGCAGACATATAGTACTCGACGATTTCTACACATTGAACGGTTCAGATTATCAAAACGGGACCCGTAATAACCCCATGGGACGAACAACGGTGTGTGTGAAAATCACACCGAATCATTTCATTTTTGCTGCACAGCCGCTGCTTTACATCAATTCAAATTGTACTTTTTGGGAAGAAAATTGATTTTTTAAATTTTTTTTTTAGTGATAGTGATATCTTTTTGGATTTTGGAATAACTTTTTGACTTTTTGACTTATATAGTATAAGCCAAACCAGGCCTAAATTTGAAATTGATAAAAAATAAATTTTTTTCCTATTCCAACTATTGTATCAAATAAGTATCAAATTGATGATTTCATTTATCTTTCATTAAACTGAGGACCAATGTACCTTTCATCAAATCACTGTTCATTGTCGTTGCCGAATATCCCCTAGATATCCCCCGGATGTTCTTTCAGATGACCACCTCAAAACAAAAATTTGTAAAAAAATTGCACTGCCCAGTCAACCACCTTGAGGCAAAAAAAATAGAAAAATTTACACTGGCTGGTTGTCCGCCTAGTCAACTGGTGTTCTGATAAAGCTCCAAAATCCTCTGTTAGAGTACTTGATATCAAAGAAAACTTTTACTCAAATTTAATAAAAAAATTGATGCATCGTTGGAGATGTTCCAAGAGGGAGATAAGGGAAGGGAAAAGTCAAAGAGCTTGTTTGGTTTGGA